TCTATCTCTCTCTCTCTCTCTCTCTCTCTCTCTCTCTCTCTCTCTCTCTCTTTCATTTTCTTTCTCATCATTAAAACAGAAGTTTATCATTAGACGATCATATGTGTATTACAAGGCTTTATTAAATATTGACTTTACCTCTCTAAAGACATTGGAATTTAAAATCAGATCTCAGAAACAGAGAAGGCAAGAACCTTATATTTGCCTGTTTGCTGTAACTCTGCTATTTTAGTGCTCTTACATTATTTTTCCCTTTCACGGATGATATTTCGGTCTATTATAAATAATTATCTTAATCAAGTTCCATATGTAGTACATTATTATCATATGCTTCGTTGCGAATTTATAGCGGCAGAACACTAATTGAAATTACAATCCCGAAAACCGATCCAAATGCAAATTATTGTATCAACTGTACTTTGTTCTGTACACAACGGCGCTCATTAAAGGATCTACTTATGGCTGAGTTCCAATCCGATTTAAGGCTTGCTAGCTTTTTGTCCATCCTTGTCTGCTTCTGTGTCGTCCTCAAATTGTGAGACCAGACGAAAATTTCCCTTGTTCGACCCGAGCAAATTCTTTAAGCTGCATTCATTCGATTGTTTGGTCGGGTGTGCTGGCCCAGGTGTGATACAATGAGCCCGGCTCCATCTATCCCCTCTTCACACCCAATGACCAAATGCAAGTTTGCCTGCCTAGCGCTAGGCGGCAGGACGTAACTATTGTTAAATTACCTCATGCACCTCCTCCTTCCGTGGTTGGCGGGGGATAAGTTGGGAGGAATGGATTTACCAGTCATGTAAACTATTCATAGATGCCATTTTCTCTGCGTCTTTCTCACTCTCTATTTCTTTTTCTGCTGCTGCTGCTGCTGCGGCTGCATTCAATTTCAGGTGGTAAGCATGCCGCCCGCTGAGCATCACGTGGGCACGCCCCACAGCCAGGCGGCTGGCGACGAGGACTATCAAATGGCGGCCAGCGCCAGCCAGTGGAAGGACGTGCCGGACAAGTACTTTATGGTGATAGCGCACTTGCTGGCCGGCCACATCAACGACACGGAGGACATGGAGCGCGTCAATGGGCCGATACTGAAGGCGAGCATTAAGTCGGTCTATTGGCTCTTTCTCATCCAATACGCAACGCTGGCCCTGCTGGGCGTCATTCTGAACATTGCCATCATTGTGTACATCATGTATAATCGGCTCTACAAGGATGTCACGCATGCGTTCATCATCAATTTGGCCTTCTGCCATTTCGTGCAGTGCGCTTTGGTCTTGCCCGTTTCGCTGATGGTGATGCTGCTCCAGAACTGGATATTTGGCCAGTTCCTGTGCTTCTTCTTGCCCATGCTGCAGGTGAGTGGCCCATAACTTATTGCCGGACAGCCGGCCAGCCGGCCAGCTCGCTGGCTCCAGCAAATTTTAATTAAACTTACTCATGAGCATTGTTATCTATTGTGGCTCCCTAGTCCAACTCTCATTCCCTTTGGCGCGCTCATCCTCTATCTACTCGCGCTCTCTGCCTTTCTCTTTGGGCCGGGCTGGGCTGCGCTGGGCTGTAAAGCTGCCAGTGGGCCAGATGAGCCGATAAACCTCATGGCACTATGACAAGTTAATAAACTTAACGCAGTCTGCTTTATCGGTTCTGGCCTGGCCTCCGCACAATGGCCCACAGACAGACGAGAGTTGGACCGGTCTGCCTTTGCTTCTATCCGTGTCCGTCTCCTTATCCGTCTCCGTGTCTGTGAAGCTGAAAACAAAGTAGAGCACGGACCGGACCGAGAGCAATAGATAAGGGCCAATAAGACACTAAAATATGAACCTAGTGCAAACAATGAATTCAAATGATTATTGGGATTTTCGCCATCTGTGCCGCTGCTACTAATTTCCTTTTCACTTTGCAACTTTAGATAGTTTCTTATTCTATTTAATCTCTACTTTAGCTTGGCTTATGTTAAGCTGCATATTACTGGGAATTACATATGAATGAGTAAGTGTATAGTAAATTATAGTAATTAGTAAACGATAAGTAAATTTTAGTTTTTCATTAGTCATGGCATTGACCAACACTGGCAATGCCACAAGCTAATCGATTTGTAGCCGATGTTAGATTAATGTAATTATGTGCCCATTAGCCTATCATCTTGGTTATGCATATTTAAGCGTTTCTGAAAACTTTGAATCAGCCGAAAATGGGAAATTAGGCAATAAGTTGATAAAAATGGAGGCAGAAGGTGGCAGAACGTGGCGCCGTCGTTCTATCCGGAAGACGTAATGGCCATTAAAGTTTATCTGTGAACTAAAATTCTTGTCGCACTAGCCGTACGGACGCTCTAAGCAGTGTCGTTATAACCGGATTCTACTGTATATACGTATGATATCAAACTAAGATACCATATTATCATCATATCAACTCGACGTCATTCCATTCAGTGTGACATTCTGTGTAATAAATACACGCATATTATGTATTTCAGATTCCTACTTCTTCTTAAATGAATCATACATTAAAACTTTGATTATTATCCCATAGTAAAGCCCTTTAGAGCAGCCAAAGAAACGTTGAGTGACTGGGATATTAAATCTGGGATATTAAATCTACCCCGAAATCTGCTAATCGAGCACTCCCGACCTGAGAACTCTTAACTGGCATTTATAAGTAAACCTCGACAGCGGACCAAAAGTCACAATCGGGCAAATATTTAATTTAAAATGATTTTCTGCTTCGACTGACGTCTGGAGGACATTTAATTAGCTTTTGAAGTAACCACAAGTGCCACAACGCTTGAGCAGTCCATAACTCATGCGTTTGCCCACTCAAGTCAACAAATTCCCGGTACTAATTAGACGCACATCAAATTCCCATGAAGTTCGCTTCAAAGAAACTGTAGACCCTCAGCTGTTGCTTTGCTTTGCAATTAGGTACGCTTTAAGCAGCTAGTGGATGCGTTTATTTCATCGGATTCAACTAAAAATAGATATTCAATTCAATTGTATTCAATTTACACGCTCGCACGACTCACCTCCCGCCTCGCACAGTCAAAGGGCTGTCAACTGAGCCTAATTGGCATGTTGTTCCCTGATAAGGGCGCGCCTGGAATTCAAGAGACCGTAACGTCACCTCTAGCCGCAGAGCTCCAGCCACCACACGCTCGGCTCAATGCCGTGAGAGATTGGCAACACCCACATAATAGCTTCAGCCACATCTTATTGTCAAAGCCGCAATGATTGACACATCTCACGGCTGCAGGTACACACATCAATACAGCTGTAGGCGTTTGTATGTATGTATGTGTGTGTGTGTGTGGCAATACTAAATAAAATTTACTCTCATTCAATTTGTTCTCTTACTTTTATCTAATGTCTTCAGCTCAGCGTGTGACGAAAATAAATGTTACAGAGCAAATAAGAAGTTTCGATAAATCGATTAATTTTCCTTTCCTTATATTGTTATTTCATTTTGTCAGGCTGTGTTTAGTGAGTGAAATGCCCATAAAAATGTCTGTAGATTATTTTTAAATGTGTTCTTTTCAGTGTAATACCAGAGTTTTGATAAGCTCTTACTAATCGAGCTGTTAAGCTCATAGGGGATAAAATAAAAAATTAGATTTTTGTGTATTTATAGACCGCATATATCCTAGTAGAGCACTATCTGACAGGGTGCTGAAAAAGCTCTAAATAATTAAGCTTTTAAGCTCATTAATTGAGCTTCAAAGGTTAAATCTTTGGAGTAGTTGGACCTAATTAGCAATCAGAATGCTCTACTTTCTTTAGTCCAGTTGATCAAGTATTTATATGGGGATCTCTATGTGGCAGAATATCAAATAATATCCTTTTTATTTTTGTAACGCAACATTTAGAGGCGAGTTGACTTTCTTGAGATTGAATTACAGAGACCTACTGCAGCAGCAGCTGGGGTAAAATTGGACAAAATGTCAGGCAACGGAAATGATTCGATTTGATTGCTATCACAATGGGCGACAAATAGCGCACACAGACACACACGCACACACAGATAGACACGTGTAAACGGATATTTGTGGCATTTACACACACATACAGATAAAGAGAGTGAGAGAGAGAGATATATGTACATATGTATTTGTACATTTGCAGCTCGCCCTTGAGCCCATCGAAATTGATTAATGCCATCGGCGCCGCAGACAATCCGCAAACATTGCAATTTACTTCGATGAGCCTTTAAATTTGCTTATCTTCAGCCAAATCCAAGATAAATGTGCATTCCATTTGCGACAATTATTGTCTTTAATTTCAGTGTTGCCTTGCACTTTGCTGAACTTTGGCTGAGCTAGGCGAACAGAAGCTGACGGAGTGAATCGGCATGGAATGTGAATTGAATGCACTCAGCTCTGAAATTCTTTTGTTCTGTTGTGCAAATTGAGTATGGGGCTATATACATATGCATATGCACATACATATATATATATTATACATAGTGTACTTACGTAAGATAAACAGAGAATATGCCTGAAGTCAAGCATCAAAACCTTTCAGCTGCTATAATCAAATTCTATGGCAGGTCAAAGTCTTATAGATCATCGAGTCAATATCTCAGCAATAAACCTTTCGGCCATCCAATCAAAACGTATGGGGGGTTATAGTCTCATGGATCTCATGGCCCATATAATATGCCATTAGACCATTATAAATAAAGCAAGTATGCTTTATCAACCTGAATAAATTTTCATTACCTATCGATGCATCGCGATGGCCATAAGACTACTCTCTCTCTCTCTCTCTCTCTCTCGCTCTCTTGCTCTCTCGGAAGCCGACGGTCTCATACTCTTCTTTAGGTCCAACACGCTTTAGGCCGAACAGATTGTCGTGTCGGCAGTCGCAAATTGCATTTGTCTAGACTTGGCCGTCTGCTAGGGCCGTTAACAAGATTGTTAAGCAAATGAAGTTAGTGTAAAATATTTGGACTGCAAGTGTAATAATTCTGCTTTCAGCCAACTGATGCATGCTCTATTTGGCTTTGTGTGAATCTCTCTCTGGGCACACTTAGCTGAATAGTTTGACCATAGCCAAGTGCTAGACAATCTGTTAAATATATGATGTACACACACACACACACACACACATATCAGAGTGTGTTTGTGTGTGTGTGTGCGTTTGAGGTGTTGTCACAAAATCCAATCTGAACTCAAGCAAATAAATAAACAAAGCCGAAATGGATAGGCGGGCAAAATCTTTGGGATTTCGCATTGAAGCATAACAAGATGGGCAAATGTCTGCAGGTTGCCAGGACAGCTGAATACATACATACATATGTGTGTGAGAGTGCTCAACGAAGCGAGCTCAACGTGCCTCACTGCTGCAACAACAATCGGAGGCAAACAAATTTGTTTCAATCACCGCACATGGCCGAAAAATGCTTGCTCCAGCCCAGGCAACAGCTCGCCCCCTCCATATCCATCCACGAATATACATACATACATATATACACACACATGCATGTACATAAATTTGTGCTCTCTTGAACTTGCAGGACATACCGATACATGTGGCGATGATATCGCACATTCTGATTGCCTGGGATCGCATGCGCTGGCTGAATGATCCGCTCAAGGGGCGCATACCTGGCTTCGTCTGCTGTTGCGCCACCTGGCTAACTGGCATGGTGATTGCCCTGCCCTATCCCATTTATACGATGTACGTGGAGCTTGGGGTGAGTACTGAACCCTGAATGGGCTTAACATTTTGCTTTATTAAAAATTACGCGTTGTCACATGTGTGTGGTCTACTGGATGTGTGTGGGTGGGTATCACTGTGGGTGGAGGTGTGTATGTGTGTGCGTGTGTGTGTGTGTACCTGCCCCCAGATCAAAGCGAATGCAACAGACCGTTAAAGCATTAAGCTACTTGGCGTGCCTCGCTCATAGACAATGCTCCATGCGCTGCGCTCTCAGTGCGGTTCAAGGGATTCGGCAAATTTGAATCTCGTTCCACCAATTCTAACTGGAATTTGGCAACCTTTATTATACAATCCAATCGAATGTAAACAGCCAACTATTTTATTTTATTTATTCTATATTGTTGTTAATCATTGTACCATAATAATCAAATAGTTTCGATCTAAGCTCTTCGATCTATGCGCTCGAGTGATAAATGCCATAGATGATGCAATCGAGCAAGCTTATGCTGGGGAGTAGTTTATAGTTCCAATTTCTCCAATCGCTTGGCAAAAATAAGCAGGTTATCTCATTAGGTTTGTGTGTGTGTGTGTGTGTGTGTTTGTTGGTGTTGTTATACAACGAGCTGTCGGTTCGTTTGCATTCACATTGCCATTGTCTGGTAAAACCCCAACGGTCTGATTAGCAACTAGAAACTGGCAAATGGCAACTGCAACGGTTCATGGCAAGGCGCCCAAACAATGTGGGGCTTACGGGCTGAAACTGTGGCTCGGGCTCGGGCTCTAGCTCTGGCTCTGGCTCTGTGGTTGTCGCTGTGGTTGTTGCTCTGGCTCTGTCTCTGTCTCTGTCTCTGGTTATGGCCATGGCTGTGCTGTCTGCATGGCAGCACGCTTGATGGTGTGTGGGCCAATTTGAAACTCGTTAACATGGCTTGTCAACTGCGCTTCTATTTCGCTGCCAAAATATTTGCAACATGGGGCTTTAAAGTGCGCCCACGACAACGACAACAACACACATAAATATTTATGGGCCATAAAGTGTTGCAACTTTTTGATATACTCAACGTGTTCATGTTTTCCTCCTTACTGTCTTCCTATTTCCATCTCTTTCTCTCTCACTCCCACGCTCTCACTGGGCGTGTGCCGGTGCTTATGTGTATGTATGAATGTATGTATATATTCAGAGCTTCGTTTTAGTTGCTTGGCATCGATAACTATCAAATTCAAGTTTACCCTGTAGAAAAGCGACTAGCGGTAAAAGGATGCGACGAATAGAGAGCAAAGATGACAATTTTAGCAGCTGCTATTACTATATTATATTGTATACATTTTTATTGAATTTTTTAAACAATAATATTGTGGATTCCAGGATATTTTCTAGTTTTAGCTGCCTTTTATACCTTAAATATAATTAAAAATGGGAATTCTGGGTATCATTATTCTATGAAAATGTCTGTGGGACCTCTTAATGTACGTGTATACGAAGTAATAGTGTGCATATATGTTCCTCATTAAGACAATGAGCTGACTTGATTGATCCGCCCGCTCATCTGAGCCGCAGCAATCTCTGCAACTACAAAGCCTAGAGACTTCAGATTTAAAATGCAGACACGTGTATAATGGTGTCATCATATGCTGTTACCCAAATAATTGTAATAGAATGAACCACAACCCTTCTCACTCCCGTTCTGGGCAAGAGACTTGGCTCGTTTGTTCTTGGTTTTCTGTTGAGCGACTTGAGTGGAGAGAAATATGATTGACGCTCGCACAATGAGACTCAGCAAATAACTCAAAGAGCCAATACCAGCAATCCTCACATGCATTTGCACACACACACACACAGACACACGACTCACGGAATTGATAGGTTTAACGAGCACAACACTCGCATGCATGCCAATGAATGCACACAAAGGAATTTTTGCTTCATTTAACACAAACAGAGCGAACTGAAACAAGACCAAGCGATTTCCAGCCGATCGCGAACGAACTCATTAATGAGCCAATGCAATCGACTGCACTATGAGTCTCCGCTCATCCTCAGAGTGAGTAAAGTACACAGTTTTTCTTTTGCGAGCCATCATGAAAATCAATAGTTTAACTTCATTTAAAGGCATTGCTTCAATACAACAAAAGATGGCAGCATTCAATTTACTTTGTGGATTGAGCATACATAGGCTTTGTATATTTAGGATTTTCGTTAGCTCCTTTCAATTCCATGGAAAAAGGGTGTTCACATACTAGAGAGCTGTACCTCGGCCATGTGTGTGTGTAAACATACATAGATTCCATTATCATTGTCTGCATTTAGTTCGTTTAAAAGCAAAGCTACTCTGCAATTAAATAGAGTCCATTAGAGAGAGATTGTACATATATTAGCTATATACTCTTAAAATCGAGTAAAATGCTTAAAATTCCAACTCTTTGAGAAGTTCAGGGTAACTCCTGCTGTTATCATATTATATTACAGAATTTATATTGAATATTTCAATAGTCTACAGGGTATCTCGTAGTACATTTAGAGACTCTAAATCTTTGCATTTATATTGTTATTGAATGTTATTATTATTGTGAGTTTTAGATATCAGTTATGTAAATATGCAAAAAAAAAAAAAATAATAATAATAATAATATAAAAATACAGAAATGTAGAGGGACGGGATGAGTAGGAGGTAGAGCAAATCTGGGAGCCTTAGTAAAAATGCTTAAGATATACATACATATATATGCACATACAACTGCAGGCTACAAAAACTTTGTAAAGCAGAAAACTTTCGATTAGAATAATGGAAATGGATACACGCATATATACATACATACATATACACTTATATACATTTTCATACATAATATTGGTTCTTATAGAAGCGACCCAAAACATTCGGCTGTGTTAATATTGTAAATGAATTTATGACTCTAAATAAGAGAGCAACAAGATTATCATTTATATTCATTCATTCGTGGCGAGCTAATGAAGTGGCGCTGGGCGAGCCAATTGTGAATTGGGATTCCCAGTTGCCACTTGGCCAAGTGGCTAAAGTGGCAGCACTCTTGGGCCGGGCAGCAGGTGGGTCTATTGGGCCAAGAGCCCTTAGCTTAAGTCCAGTGCCAAGGGATATGGCAAATGGCTGTGTTCGCTGCATACGGACATACATATATCATTATTGGGTCGGTCGACTTGGCAATTATATGCGGTATTTATGATGCTGCCGGGTCTATAGACCCGCTCTGCGATGTTTCTGGCGACAATTTGTATAATTTATGTGGCAGTTCAGTGAATGTCTGGTGCCCATAAAAACTGACAGGACGATGGCAACAAGTGGCACAACAAACGACGCGACGATGATGATGACGATGATAATGATAATGATGTTGTCGATGTCGGCTCGATGATTATTATTATTGCTGAGCTGCTATAATGCTCACAATAAGGCTGATGATAATTGCGTCGATTTATAATATTTACGCCTAAAAGTCGATTACCATAACGCGAAACTACCAATGTGTAAGAGTGAGTGAGTGTGTGTGTCTGTGTGTGTGTGTAAGTGTGTGTTCATATATGGCAAACTCAATCAGTCGTCAATAATATCATTAATGTGTGTGAGTGCGCGTGTATGCTTAATTTGATAGAGCTCAGACACACACACACACACACACACACACACACACAAAAGACACAAGCAGACCATAAGGACACGCAGATAGCGTCTAGATTCGTTGGTTGCGTTAGTCCTTGCCGAAACTCTTGGCCGAGAGGGCTTATTATCTCATTTGGGTTTGCCTCATGTGCAATTTATGAATATTTTACGTATACGTTATGGCCGCATTGCTTCTGAGGAGGGTAGAAGTGACGTGCCATTTGGCTTGGTATTTCCATTCTATTTGGGTTCAACAAATTGCTTTGACATGCGCACACACACACACGCACACGCACACGCACACACCCTCAGGCACACACACACACACACACAGACAGTTGGGCACACAGACAATGTGAACTTTGATTCGTCATGTGGCAAGTGATTCAATGATGCTTCTGAAATCTTTTGGATTCCTTTGTGACAAACAATGATATTCGAAAATCACTTTGATACGAATATATATCTGTATCTATATGGCATATATGGCATGCATTAGTGTCGCATGCACAACAAAACAAATTATTTTATAATTCAATACGTTTGCCTGGTCCCAAAGGCATCCACTTCTGAGATAATCAATCATAGGTAAACTACTTACAGACTTTGCAAACTCTTTGATTCATGAACACTGATAGATCCTCAACTATATTTCATCCCCTTAGCAGCTTATGAATCGCTTATCGATTTTTTAGCCTGGGCTTAATTGCCGCGTCTTTGGCCAAAAGTCAGTGAGAGGAAATGCGACTCAGTTGCGAGTCGAACCGAAGCTGAGGTTGGGCAACTTGAAGCAGCCAGCGATTTCTACGCTTGGCCAACTTTGGTTCAAGTTTATCAAAAAAAAAAAAGTTTGACAAACCGAAAATAAAGAAGAAGCAGAGGCAAAAAAACACTCAAATTGAAAATGTTTTTATTGTTTTTTATTGGCCCCAGTCCGAGCTGAGCGGCCCAGCGTCCCATGTTGTGCAATGAAAATGTCAACGCCACAACAAATTTGCCTAGTCGAATAATGGCAGGAGCAGGGGCAGAGGCAGAGGCAGAGGCAGGGGCAGGGGCTGAAGCAATCCCTTTACCCACATCAAGCCCAATCTGTCATAAGGGCGTGTGAATTTCGCTCTGCCTATGCGCAATTATGTATGTATGTATATACCTATACGCCTGTATGTATATTATTTTATTTTTATAATTCAGTGCCATAAAACTGTCAGAGAATTTCGACCGCAGACTGTCAATTAATTACAAGTTATGCGAGTCAAAGCATTCGCCAGGGCAGGATAAGGGATTTCTAGCTAGCTTAGCTCCAAGTTTCATTCGCCTGCTCGCTTCGTTTTTGGCAAACGGAGCTAAAGCTCCGAGCAAAGGCGTACAGCATTGTGGGTGCGACATGGTGGCCACGCCCTGCATCGCAGCAGCGCGC